TGACTGAATGACTATTTCATTTCATTGTTTTCCTTTTCTCCGGGCCACTTGAAACACGGCCAGTACCAGCTTACGGGAAAGGCTAATTACATTTGCCTGGTTAAAAAGCAGGGCTGCAAGGTGGCGCAGTTGGTAGCACTGTTGCCTCGCAGCAAGAAGATCACCGGTTCACGTCCCGGTGGGGGGGGGTAGTTGGACGACCATGTTGTTCCCATGCTGCATGGGTTCTCTCCGGGTTCTCCGGCTTCCTCCTACAATCCAAAAATTCAATAATTGGTGATTCTAAATTGTCCGTAGGTGTGAATGTGAGTGTGCTTGGTTGTCTGTCTCTAAGTGTGGCCCTGCGATAGACTGGTGACCTGTCCAGGGTGTCCCCTGCCTTTGCCCTAAGTCGGCCCCCGCAACCCTAGTGAGGATTAAGTGGTGTATAGATGATGGATGGATGGTTAAAAAACGGTTCGCGAAGACTTCCCTCTCCTCATTTTTTTTCTTGTAGACGTTCAAAGTTTTGTTTCTTTTTCTTTGAGGCATTTTTAACAATTTGCAAACACTTGGTTTGGTTGTTTCTGGATTCTTCTACTCGGTTTATCGTAGCCATGTGGCCTAAATATATTTGTTCCAAAGCAGTTAATAGATACAAGCTTAATTTGCATTTAGTCATGGCAATTCAAAATTTTGCTTCAAATGAAATGCGGCTAAAGTCTTTTTTTTTCGAGTGAAATGGATCTTTTTAAGCTCAGTGTCTAATTGTTTGGGCTGATGATTCAACAAGGAGAGATTCAAATCCATCCTACTGCACGCGCGCGCGTGTGTGTGTGTGTTGTTCGATGTGACCTTTCTCCATATGTTGTGGGACTGAGCAGGGGAACAGGAGGTGAAGCCCTACACATGCTATCAGTCTGAGCTGTTAGCCAGCAGCCGCACACACACACACACACACACACAGATGCACACAAACACACACACGCACACAAACACACACACGCACACAAACACACACGCTGCAGGCCTAACATGTCATTGTTACCTGATATTCATGGTGTGTAGGAGAAACAGACGCAGGAGAAGGTCATACGTGTGATGTCAGAGGCGGTGCGTTCACTGCCGGCCTTGGGTTTGATCGCCGCTCGCTCCTCCTGCACAGCCTCGGGCTCCCTCTACCCTCTGTCCTCCCCACCCACCTCCCACAATCCTCAGCATCCGTCCAGCCCCCGCCAGGAGACATGCGGACCTTTCTATTTTGGATTTTCCAGTCAGAGCTGAAACAATGGTGCAGCAGAAAGCACTGACGAAGACTGTATTTACTGTATCAGAGAGGACTAATATTCACAGTGCTGCAGTCGTGTCTCTGGATGATGAATAATGCATGTAGCACGTCACCAAGTGGAATTCTGCTGAGACCTGGAAAGGATAAGGAGAAGTGTATTTTAGATAAATATTTGCATTTTTTTTTTTTTCCTGCAAAACTTTCTTTTCATTTCAAGAAAGATTCTGCGTGTGTCCTGCAAGCAACATTGGCCCAAATCCCTTTGGATAAAAGCTTCATCTCCATTTACTTTAACAAACGTGAAGAAGAAAAAAAACACTTAAATCCATGGCAACAGTGTTTAAATTATATATTAAAATACTCATCTTTACAGCCTTTATATGGTCACGTCATTTTAAATCTGTAGCTGTGTAAAAAAGCAAATTAAAAAAGTTAAGCAGGAACAGTTATCCTGATGTCGGAAGTCCATTCTAAATCAAAGCTACGCTTTAGAAGGTTACACAGAATTTTGCATCTTAGTTTGAGTATGTCTGTGGCAATAATATCATCTATTGTAAAGTCATTTTTGTTGTAAAATCAGCTAAGAAGCTAAATCTCGTTAGAACCAATGGTCAGCCCAGAACCATTAAAAGAAGACAAAATCATTTACAGTTTCTTTCAAAATCACTGACCAACATCACTGAGTGATGTGCTGGTCTTGTTTTGGCCTTTGTTTATTCTGAATTATCTCCAGAAATCCCCCAAAGATCTGAAACTATCTATATAGAACTTTGTGTTTATCGTCCTTTAAGCTGACAGTTTCTGCCTATTACAATGGCTGACCATCACTCTACAATCCAACCAATGCTTCACTTTTATCTTGTAATAAAACACTTTTCTGCTTAAGCTTCACTCCAGATAATCTGAGGGCTGTTTGATAACCTCCAGTGTCGGTTTCCAGATGCACTAGCAGTGACTGATCTAATTCAAAAAGCGATATAACAGCCCCTTTAGCATGATTGACTAGATATTGTATTACACTGAGCAGTTAAAGACAGGAGTACGAATACCAACAAAGCAAAGCGACTAACGGGACAGAAAGCTAACCAGAAGGTTTCCCTCGCAGCGCTCGTCTCGGCTTTACAAAAGACATTGTTATTGGGCATCTGTACATGTATGCTTATCACTCTCAAGTTTCCTTATGAAGCAGCGTAACCCCCCCCCCAAAGAAATATCTTTGATTCATATTCATATGCAAATGCACATCCTCGGGAAAAAAAAGACATTCTTTTAAAGAAGAAAGAGAGTAAAAGGAGGGAGAGGGAAGTTCAGCTTATCGCCACTCAACAGATGTTCAGACTAAATGTGCTGGTTTGTCTCGTCACTAAGGCTGAGCGGAGTAAAGCTCCGGAGCTGGACGGTCTGAATGGACGGAGTCAACCAGCTGCAGCTAAAAAAATACATTTGTATAGTGGCTGTAATTTGCATCAATGACAGAGGTGGAAGGAGCCAGAGGATCAGGATGAGAACCTTCAGCTGCCAAAGGCCTTCGGCCAAACAGAGGAAATTAATTTTCCACGAGGAGTCGCTGAAGTCTTGACGCTGCAGGACAGTCAGGTAGCTTCAAGAAAGTGCCTCGGCTGGAAACAACTGAGGGATTACGGGAAAAGAACAGTAAAATGCCACATTATCTCATAAAAATACAAAATCTTTAGCTCACCTGGTGCAGGTCTTTTATAGAGGTCATCAAGGAATGAAAATAGGCACTTCATGTTCGAATAAAGAGTTTTTGCATTTCAATTTTTCATTGTTAGATGTCACAGTCTACTTTACAGTAATTTTGCTTTGTTCTCGGTTGTAAATTTACCTTATTTTACAAAATAGCCTAAATATACCTGACTTTTGTTCATGTTTGAGTGCAAAAGATATGTTCAATGAATGCATATTTTATCAAAGCATATAGAAGCGATACACAGTTTAATAGACCATAACTTTTAATGTTTTGAGTGTGTGAAGAGTTTTGTAAAGTTAAACTTGGTTTTAGAAGCGTCTCACCAATTTGAAAAAAAATAAATAAATGAAAATCCATAAGTCCAACAGGTGTTTTATGAGCAAAACTGGACGAGATTTCGCAGATATTTGTAATGAAATGTTGATCACATCAGCAGAATTCAATTATAAAAAGGAAAAAATGTGTTAATATGTAGGTAAAACATGAAGACAAGTAACACAGTGTTCACGTACTTTCATTCTGCTGCTTTGCGATGTGATGGTCCAACATCTGGTTTCAATGTTAAACAATCCATCCTATCCAAGGGACTTTTTACGCTTCTGTTACCCTTTAATAAGGGTTGTTTTTTAGCTTACATCCTTGTTAAACAGGTGTGTAAGCTTCACTTTTATCTCCTCAGATCTTGGTCTCCTATAGCTCCGCCATGCATCTCATGTTTTCTGCCTGACAGGGCAGAGAGAATTCCAGTAATAACAAGTGTTGCAGATGGGAGAGATCAAAGCAGGAACAAGATCGAACAAACAGTCCCGTGTAGACCTCAAAAGCACAGTTGGTAGATCAACTGAGGGGAAGCAGGAATTACAGAAAAGCATAAAAGTTTAGAGAGAAGAAGCGTAGCCTTGAGGTTATAAAAGTAGGTTAGTGCCTGGAAGGTTTTTGGCTCACATCCCTCGAGGTAATGTGGCAAGTGCCCTTGACCGAGACACCGAAGGCCAACAGAGGAACAACTGTGGTGATGCTGTTTGGCTGCCAACAACAACTGTACGGTTCTTTTGAAAAAATGTCTTTGGATGAGTAAACAATTTGAGAAATACTTGCTTATTTTTCCTCGCTTCTCTCCCCTCATCATCCCTCCATCCTTGGTTTCTTTGTTTGACTTTCTCTCTGTCATCTCACGTTTCTTGCTCCCTCCATCTTGCATATAACTTCCATGGCTGGTTGATTTGGGTGAGCAGAGGGAAACAGGCAAGGCTTCCACAGTTCAGGGCTCCGGAGAGCTCGGCCAGGCAGCAGCAATCAATCACACGCTAAATCCCTCCTCTCTCAGGACTGCTGTGTGCCAGGTGACATGGTCAACAGCTGCACAGAAATATAAAGCCTACAGCGAGTGTCTGAATTTAAATAGACAAGCGAACGGGGTCTCTGGAAACAGTTCGAGGAAAACCGCTGAGTATACCGATATGTGAGGAGATTGCAGGAGGCAACTGCATTGGTGGTTTTTTACACTTTTATACTGACAACCTCTTTCAATTATAGAAATAATGACTGTTCTCACTTAGCGCTGAGGGTAATAGTTGCAACACCTTCACAAAATCTCCCAGGGTTGAAGACTGTGAATAGAAGGTGTGACTTCAACATGGTAGATTGCCATTCATGTCCAAGTTTCAACAAAAAAAATCTGAATTGATTTCTTTTAACTGTTATCATGGCCTTTGTCTATCCTTAACTAATTGATTTTTGTTTGCAAAACTGACCAAACATGAACCACTGAGGAAGGCAATCTGGAATGGCTACTTCTGCAACAAGTATTCCTCTAGCATATGAGGAAATTGTATGAAAGTGTTTGAACCTGGCAGCTAACATCCAGATTTTCAGTGTCCTTGCTGAACTAATGCACTGACTTGTGTTGAACCAGGTTAAATCTTTGACATACCATTAAGCAAATAAAGATGTGGTCTGATTAAAGGTGTAAGAAACGTGTAAAATCTTGGTTTTGACGTTTGCTGTGTCCTTTTCTTGCAGACATGTCTAGAGTTGGAGCGGTATCTACAGACGGAGCCCAAGCGACTCTCGGAGCTCTTCGACGAGGAGCTCGACTGCCTCTTAACGCCGGCCTTCATGCCGGGTGGTGACAGCGATGAGGACCTGATGGACCCCCTTCTCCCCAGCCTCCCCGACCAGCCCAGCCCACCTCCGTTACTGGTAACCCTCCCCAAGGTCCAGGCCAAAATCCTCCAGGTCCCCAACCCCAACAAGAGCCAGGCAGTAGCTGGGACTGAAACCCTCACGGCCAAGGACCAGGTCCTCGGAGGAGTCAGCGCCGCACAACTTAGCGCAGCCGTCACGTCCCTAACACCGCCGTCATCACCGGAGCTCGGCCGACACCTTATCAAACCCACACAAACACTCACGGCGACAGCAGACGGCACATTAACGCTTAAACTGGTGGCCAAGAAAGTGGGATTAGGGGCAGCTAAGCTGGTGGCAGCGCGAGCGTTACCGTCCCCGCCGAGCCGAGGAGGAACTCTCAGCGACAGCGAGCAAGGAGGAGGAGGAAGTCTGGGAGGCGACGTACCAGAGAACAAGAAGAGAGTCCACCGGTGCCAGTTTAACGGCTGCAGGAAGGTTTACACCAAGAGCTCCCATCTGAAGGCACATCAGAGGACTCACACAGGTAAAATCATTTACATATACAGATTCTTCATTTACATTCTTTAGAACTACCTTCAGGATTAGGATCCTAATGTTTTCAAATATTTCTTCTCCGCATTCCAACACTTAAAAGTTTAAATGGCACAGTGATTATAAAGTTACATACTTGCATACTTTCAGTTTTAATCTAAGGGCATTAGCATCTCACTATAGGGCTTTTTGATCAACAGAGTACCAATTTGTTTCATGTAGGAAGTTCTGGGTATTTTGACCGAAAACAGGTTCCTTAAGATCCTAAAATATTAGTTCCCAGCAAGAATTAGACGGCAGTCAGGTCTGAGTGTCTCATGAGTGGTCATGCAAGCAAAATAGAGAAGCGTTTGGCCTCGTCATTTGATGAAACTCAATTTCCAGTGTCACAATGGACATCTGCTAAATTTCAGCAGAAGCTTGGAGACTCAGAAAAACAAACTGTATGCAGAACTTGCGGAACTGGTGCTAAAATGTGTTTGGTTCCCGAAAGGAACTGAGGCACAAACAAGAACCAAACTGCTTCTCTGTAGGTTGAAAAGCCCTAATAATACGTTGTGTACCTGAGGCACCAAATTTGGAACATGAAAGATTACAATGTTTGCTGCCCATACATGAACATCAAAGAAAAAATCCCTGAAACAAGAAGTGAAGTATCGTACAGACCTGCCAGCATCAGCAGGACTGATGATGCCTGTGGGTCAGAGACTTCAGATTTAGGATAAAATATTAAAGATTATGACTTTATTCAAGTTTAATCAACTTTTCCAGTTACTCTACACCAACTAAATTTATGAGACTTAGACTTAGTACCTCCGATAATGTGTTTAATCCTGAAGCTGTGAGTAAGATTCAGCACACAACCCAGCACAGGCACAAAATCCAGACGATACCTCACCTTGTGAGTTGGTTGAGCTTCTGAAGAAATCTGAAAGGAAACGTATGTGATATTTGAGTTGTTGAAGGAGATTAGAACCTTCTTCCATCTTTTTGTGCTTCTCACATGATCCTTCAGAATTATTCATTTGAGTCTTGATACCAGCTCAGTGCCAAAAGGCCCTGCCTCTGTAATTGCCTGATGATTGATAGACTGGTAGTAAATGACTTTGCAAATTCAGCCGTGTCCAAGTGGGTCTGACATGCAGCTTTAGCTGCTTACTACAGCTGTCCTCTCGGTGACCCTCAGTCAGAACACACACCAGGCTAATGTGTCCAGGGGCAGGAAGCGTGAGCTCTGTAGGGTAGAACATGGAGCCGGGCTTTGGGTTGATGAAGGAGACACATAAGCAGAGTTGACTGATGCAGACAACGATGGCTAAAAACCTGAACATTTATACTCTTGGTGGAAGAAATTTTACTCAATAGTGAACAGTCTGTTGTATTTTTCTGAATAGCTGCCACAGTGAGAAACAGATTTTGTGAGTTTGAAGCCTTATTAGACATTAGAAAGTAGTTCACAATACACAAGGAAGGATTTTACAACTTTGGAAAGCTATCACAAAGACATTTTAACCTTAGTCAGAGGAACTAATGCATTCATTGTTGGCAAATATCTGACTAGCTTTGCATCTCCTTTAACTACACAAAAAAGTATGTTCATTGCTACATGCCAAGTATGGCCATATTTAGGGCAAATTGTTTTAACGTTTAATAACTGGACTTGATATGTATTGCACATTCCATAGCTGAGTTCTTCCTCGTCAACAGGACTATTTTGACCACACTGTCATTCTTATAAGAAGAAATGACATAATTTCTACCATTTATGTGTATGAGGTTTCTCATTACAGAAAATTACAAATCAGCTACAGATATTCACAATTCCCTTTCTGCAGGTGAATTAATTACAGTTTTACAAATCTACAGTTTAATTCTGACCAGTGGTCATTCTAGTTAAGATATCTTCAATCCTTTCCATTTCAAAATATTAACATTGTCCTGTTTCGATTAGTTACATTAGATTTGAACAAGTCAAAATGATGTTATAAACATCTCAGAATGTCATTACAGATACGAAGAATTAGTTTTCACTCACAAAATGACATTGCAGATGTCTGTATTCAGACACTATGGCAAGCTTGCTTTTCAAACATACTGTGCCATATAAAAGTCTTTATAACACCGTGTCACAGCAGACTGACGTCAAAGCTCTGATAAATTTCAACTACAAGTTTATGAACAAAGTTTTAGTTCTCTATAAACTCCTTGTTGATAAAAATCTTCCTTTTTTATGGCATTTTCTAATTGTCATATTACACCACAGCAGGCTCTGGACCAGTAGTTTCATGCACAACAATTTGACTTTATGTTAGGAGACATTTGTAACTTTTGTTTTGAAAAGTCAAAACTGAATTACAGATCTCTCTGTTCTTTTGACGATTCAGAGTGACATTATATATGTGTGTGTGTGTATATATGTATATATTGTAAATAAAAATTCAGACTAGCCACAGTGTAAATATGACTAGTCCAAATGATGTTTTTGATCTCTTTTAACTTTGGATGTTTAAATGTTAAAACATCTGCACCCTCACTGTCGTCTGATTGAAATGTAGCACATATGTTCTTTCAGGCAGCATAGGTTTCTGTGATAATATCTGTAGTATAGGCAAAATCACAGCAAAATAAAAAGGGTGAGAATAGTGGTTTTATGATTTGTTTGTTGAAACTACATTTAGCAGTAATTCTTGTTGGAGATTTACAGTTGTAACCTGGAGCGGCACCATTACTTTTTAAAGTGACAGGAACCAGTGGATTTGGGCAATCTTGGAAATACTCTCATCAATTTTGAAGTCAAAATTCCTCCTGGATTTGTGATCTTTAGCCTGAGTAAGTCAATCCATCATTCATCTGCAGTGTATAAGGCCCGTGCAGACTTGTACCACCTGAAGCTACCATTCAACCTCAGCTTTAACCACACCATCATTTACAGTATCCACGGCAGGTCATGGCCTTCAGTTGTCATCAGCGAGTGTTAGCAGCTTCACTAGGATCACAGCACACAGCTCGTAGACATCCACTGTTCTGGCAACCTTGGCATCATTAATCCAGCGTGTTATAGGCTTATATGATCCCAGCGACCATAGCTTGGCTTTAAGTATAGCATTACATTCCAGGGCAGCACCTGGCATAGCTAAGGGGAAACCCAACCACTGTAGCTTTATTATAGCTAATCCAGAAAGGAGCTGCTAGTTTTTCTGGTACCGCGAGCTCCAGTATCTTTAATCTTCTGATGATTCGACAGCCGAGTCATGCTAACCAACGCTAAGCTTTTAAACGCAGAATCTTTCACTGTGAAAAAAGAAAAAGACACCCCGAAGACAGTGCAGCTTCCCTGATCTGTGTGTGTGTGGTATAAATGTGGGGGTGGTGTATTCCCTCCCGATGTGTTCATTACAAGCACAGCGCTGTGGTTTAATTAGCTTAATCCTCTTTTTGGGTTATTATAACCATAAATCATTGAACATACATGTAGGGAGGGATTAACGTAGCAGAGACTACAGGGAGGAGCAGCTGCAGAAAGCCTGCACAGTGTCAATACACTTACTGTCACATAGTGCACACCAGAGGCCATTAGAAACATCATTATATTGAGGTCTGTCAGGGGGTTGTGCTGTACATGTGCTGCAATTCCACATCACGATGGTAATTATGTTCCAGCATTCGTACTCGAAACAATTTTTCTGAGCTGCAGCCATGATGTAGAAGTAAGGTTTATTTTCCTGTATGAAAATGTTCAATCAGGGAAGAGTTGTAGCATTAATCGATGTACAAATTAATTCAGCAAATCTCTAAAGTACCTCATCAGAGCTGTTCTGAGCCGGAGCCAGGGTTTTCTGGTTCTCTGGGTGTTTTTTTTTTTTTTTTTAGTTTCACTCTCTTGGATCTGGTCGGAGCAATAGATGGATAATAATTGCATCCTCCTTGTAATTCAAGCAGCTATCCAAAATAATATACTTAACTACATACTTGGCACAAAAGAAATAGAAAGAAAGCGATGAGCCGCTTTGGAAGAAGAGTTCAAAAGACTCCCAAAAGCTGCACTTAATTACATTTTTGGGGAAGAATGAACACAGTGTGCAGGTGTTTTTACTCTCCATTTACAAAACTCACCTGATAAAACAGTTGGATGTGCATTACGTGACATTACGAGACAAGACTTAAGTTAGAATAGAATGCTTTTTATTGTAATTGTAATTGTATGTACAGTTAGCCAACGGCAGAATAAATATATTGCACTGTTGAGGTAGGAACGCTGTGGATATATGAGAAATTTTAAAAATATGAATAAATAATTAATATAAGTAATAAATGTATACAAAATACAGTATCATGTGTAATAATAATAATTAAAACGTAATTGTGATATAATTGTATAGTATAGTATAGTATAGTATAGTATAGTACAAACAATAAATATATTATATATATATTTGTATTTTGACAAAAAATTGATAACTAATGTTTTTTTATTTAGGCCATAGTGGGTGGCGGTGGTGTGTGCTCAACTGCACTTTAACTAAAAGCCTCCCTAATATTTTGCTCACTCCATTAACATACACAAGGAGAGCAAAGAATTAGGAACACTTTTCAGTTTAATAGATTCCAGTTCATCACCACCAACTGCTACAATCTCAATAATAAACATTAATAAATAGTATCACTACAATGTCAGCAGAAATAAAATAAAAAAAAATGTAGAGGCTTTGTTAAAGTAGAATTCACGGCGGAGCTCTTGTATTAGATGGTAATAGGTGATTGGTAAGTGTAAAGTGGTATGCATTTGTCGTCCACTAGAAATAACAAAACAAGTGTATAACAGTGTTGTGATATAATAAACAACATAGGCATAATTATTTAGAACAGCGCAAGAATTTTTACCGTCCTCGTTATGTGCAAATGTGTGAAAACTGTGTTTGTGTGCCATTTTATAATAGGTTTTAGCACAATATAAAGAATATAACAGAACAACGCCATTTCTTAAAGGATGCA